CGCTTTCATTTGTGCTATGTAAATAGCTTCTTTCTCTCAGTCATCCAAACAAATAATGCTCTTTGCAACCAAGGAGGAAATTAGTAGCAGGTGAACGCTTATTTTTTAAATTATGTTGAGACCAAGCTGTTCTTTAACTTAAAGGAGATCTGGAAAAAAAAAATCCCATTTTACTACTTAGCGATCTTAATTACGTGTTGTCATTGTCATAATTCTACATACTTATTCTTTCCCCTCCCCACAAATATTAACCTTGGTGGTTAATCTACTTTACGATGAGCTGGACCTAATGTTGCGTGCATACTCTAAAGCAGTTTATTTAGTGGGACAAGACTTCTCTGATGATGTAAAATTAACTGTTATCTTATCGTGCATGAAACATGGAAGGAATTTCTGACTTAGGTGTTCTATTCCTTTGCTTTCCTTATCTATTCTACATAAACATAAGGTGTTTCCTTGTGCTGTGGTGTGGCAACTGTAAAAAATAGCCACAATACTTCTGCCACCTGCTTACACGCTTCTGTAGGTCAAGGCAGGCTGCAATTACAAGAGACAGCATACTCTGTTCCTTGAACAGGACCACAGCAGACGCATTTGTATCATTGTCCACATCGTAACTTCCACGTTTGCAAATCCTGTATGACTTAAAGAGGTGGGTAGCCAAGCAAACTGTCAGGACAGGTGAAAGTCTCTTCATTAGTGATGGTGCTCACAAAAACATCTGCAAATACTAAATGGCCTCCAGGCAATCACCAAATAATAATTACCCAGTGCTAGAGTTGTAAGACACGTGCAGAGGGACAGACAGTAACTGCCTACTGATGCTCGGGATACTCTGGTTACTCTAAGACTACAGAAAGAGAACACCAAGATAATCTTTTTCATATGAAATCTCATTATCAACACAACCCATCCTGTATGACTGGCAAAATGCAAGGTAAAATCCCAGCAACAAACTTCAGTATTTTCTTTGTAATTCCAGCTAATTTCAATGTCATGAAGAAGCAGGGGCTGAAGCTGGCTCTTGGCAATTTCAGCAGCTATAATATCACTTGGAAGTGCAGTAGGAACAATAAACACAGACATTACTTAAAATGCAAGGAGACACACATCATGTGAGTCTGATCTTGAGTTTAACCTAGAATCCAACTCTCCATAACTCCTGGCCAGAAAAAAAAACCAAAATAATTCAACCTTGAACTGGAATACTACGTCTGCAACAGCCGAACTGTTGTCACAAAATTGTTCTCAATCGTACTTCAAACTTGCCACATGGATTAATCGGCAGTGAGAAGCAGCTGCAACACCATGTTCTGTGCACTTCTGTTGCCATTTTAATTTTTCAAAAGCAAATGGAGAGGCTCTCCACAAAATTCAATGCTGCAACAGCAATGACTGAACCAGAATCACAAAATTATGAACAGTTCACTAAATTGTCTATTAGGAGCACATATCAAGAGGCTGCAGAACAAATTGTGCGCCTGAAATAACAGATCAATGAATGAAGAATAAAGAGATGTAAGAAGTGGAGACGTTGACGAACCATTGTAATTTCTGAAGAATCAATTTCCATAGTGCCAGAGTAATGGCAGAACATCAGAGATAGTGTATTCATGACTTTTAACAGCAAAAAATCATGGATTACCAAATGGAAATTTATTAATGCTCCAAGAAAGAGAGAATGATGTTGTAACATAAGGCCAGGAAGTACACGAACTTCTTAAAACTATTAAATTGCAATAAAAGCAGCCCACGATATGTGTGTACAGTAAAAAAATGGGTGCCTTGGGCAGGACAGATATATCCTTTAAAAATTAGAAAAACAGTAGACTATGACTGAGCTAATGATGGAAACACTGAATGCACACAACACTTTTGTCCGATGATACAGGTCTAGCTACTTTACCATCTCACAGCATGTCCAGCTGCATAAACATTCAGCCACAAACATGTATTAGAGAACTAACGCCGAAGAATGTTTCGAAGCACAGGCCTAAGATTTTACTACATCACCTTATGAATTACACAAGTTGCTGCTTCTTAAGCTATCAGTTTCCTAAACAAATCTTACCCTAGACTTAGAAAATGGCTAATCAGAGGGTAATACACCACTTCTGTTCTACTCAACATCTACATCAGTGACCCACCAACGGGCAGCACAAAAGAAGGTTTTATCTATGTGAACAAACGCCAAGGGTCTGGCCGGCCAGCGTCCCCCGCGTTCTCAGATAACTATATAAACACTCACAGTGCCAAAAACAGACAACGGAGCACTTATAAATTTGTGGCTTGTTGGAAGAACCGTGTAGTATCAAGCACCTAGGAGACAACAGACTGAAACACAGACGAGTTTCTTTGTTCTCTAAAAAACACAAAACAAATAAAAAACTTAGAACATTTCACCCTGTAGGATTCCCGACCTCACACCTTCCTTGCCTTTTACCTACCAACAGAAACGAAGTGCATTTTCAAATATCACTTAAACCTGAACATGGAGAATGACTATAACTAAGGCAAAGTGCAGAAGACGGATCACAGGTGTAAGGCACCCACTCCACGAACACACCCCACCTCCTGGTTAACCAAAAAAATCACAAAAAGTCATTCATACTGCTATGGGTTGAAGCTGTGGTGCTCCACTCACTATTCAGATGCACAGAATGAGGAATTTGATGAGGTTGCCAAGAAGGTGTGGTGGCGCAGGAACGCACATGGAGACATACTAATCTTTATACTTGTGCCTTGTCCAACTCATTTATTTGGAAAATGGGGCTATTTGAACAATACAGGCACACACAAAGGTCTGCACATACAGACCAGGGAGTAGGTGCTGATCTGTTTCCAGGTGGAAGAAATGCGTATCAAGTAACTTTGGAAATGCAGCAGATTGGGCAACAGCACATTCCCTGGTTTGGAAAAACACAGAGTTGAGGTGAAAACATGTGAGAAGCAGCAGCAGTAGCCCCGATCATCTGCTCCTGTGCCACAGTTCTTGCAGGAACGAGGAGGAGGAGGTAAAAAGGAAGGTCCTTCAAGCCCCGGCAGCGAGGTCTGGCAGGACAAAGCAGCGCCCAGTGCCCGGGCAGCCTCAACACAGCCAGCACAGAGCCCAGGCTGTCCCGGAATGAAACGGAGGGACTGCTCGCCACTGAACCTCTTACTTCCACTTCTCTCTGCCTGACAGCATCCAAACCAATGCTGGTGGGAATTCTTGGACCGTACCTCACCCAGCTATGCCGGTCAAGGACAGATGGAGTGCTGTTCCTGTTAATCAAGATGACTTCTGCCATGCGCTCCTTTCTCGAGCCTGCGTGCTCAGTGCCTACAGAAGTTCCCAGGGCCTATCCTGCTATATGTAGAAAAGGCCATGTAATTAGGTATTTCTTCAGCTTTAACAAATGCACTCTTGGCAGCACAAGAAACTAAATGAAACCGTTTGGTGATAAATTTAAGTATGTACTTATTTACCCATCCAAGAAACTCAATCAAAACGCTTTATACTATTGACTTTGTAACAGCGTAGGACTGGCTGTCATTTCAGACATTTCAGTTTTCTTTTTACTCTTTAGTACACAAGCAGACTGGCTGGGGGGGCACAAGGAGTCGGGAGGGGACACAGCCAGGACAGCTCACCCTGACTGACCACAGGGACATTCCATACCACATGGTGTCATGCTCAGCAATAAAAGCTGAGGGAACGCAGGAGGAAGGGGGAAACATTTGGAGTTATCATCTGATAAGGCTTTTATCTTCCCAAGTCACCATTATGCACGAAGAAGCCCTGCTTTCCGGGGGATGGCTGAACACCCTCCTGCTCAGGGAAAGCAGCGAATTAATCCCTTATATTGCTTTGCTTGCATGCACAGCTTTTGCTTTACCTGTATCTCAGCCCAGGAATTTTCTCACTCTTACCCTTCTGATTCTCTCCCCCATCCCACTGGGGGTGAGCGAGCGAGCGGCTGTGGGGGGCTGAACTGCCCACTGGGGTTAAACCACAACAACCAGAAAGTTTAAAAGACAAAATGTGTACACAGGTACAATCAAATACATCCCCAAGTAGTATGAATTAATGTAAGAGAAAGAGTAAGTGGGGAATAAATGTGTTTAACCCTTAGTAAAACAATAACGCTAATGAAAGCGGACAAGCCATGAGGCAAAACATCATACAGTCTCTAAGAGAGAGACCCTAGTTTGTGCACAAAACTGTGCATCCCGCTTCTCTGAAAGCCACTCTGGTGCAAGCAGCATTACTACTGGGAGGTGAGAGTGCCAAGGCTCTCCATTCTGTCAGGCAGGGGAGGTTGTGACGGTGCAAGGAAGACCTCAGCACACACAGCTTTGCTTTCACTGAGGTCAGATGCCCTTCTTCAGGTCAACGCTCCGACTCCTAAAGCATTACAATAAGCATAGCACTGAAACTAAAGTCATTTTCACACAGAAAAGGTACCACGGTCAGTCGCCTCTACACCTACTGCATCCGCAACATCCCTACAAAAAGCCTGGGAAGAACCCGTAGCATCCAAATATCTAACATACCAACAAAGAGGTGATCAATTAATCATCAGATCTCTACTTAGTCAACCTAGCGGCCCCTGATATCTCCAGGTAACACGAGAAAAATAGCCAATGTATTTATCTTCAGCCAGAGAGTAAAATACCACATTTTTTTACCTAGTGCTTCACCTTGAAGAGAACAAAGTTAAAGAAAATACTGTACTGTGTAATATTCTCTGATTTGTGTAATCTACATGATATTCTATTTTGAACACATACTAAAGTCAAATTGTAGTCTAAATTGCATCTTAAGCTATAAAGCAAATAACAGAAATAACTGTTAGAGCATTAACACACAACAAATCCTGAAACCTTTTGTGAAATGACTGCAGCCTCACCAAATCTTTATTAACATATATATAAGTATCACTTCTACAGAGAAACACAACAAAAACCACAGCACAGCAATGCATACACACATGCATACACGCGCACAATTGATATACCTCTCCAAGAGCTTCATAGCGCTTTTGGTTCCATCTATGCAAATCTTCACGATAATTGAAAACAAATGGCTCCCCAGTTTTTATGTGTCTTAACTGCCCTTCTGTAAAAGAAAAAAAAATAATTCCATTTTAATATACTTCCTCATTAAGACACATTTAATTGATGAAAATTTTAAAAGACGTCCATATCTAAAAGTTGGTCTGTTACGAATTCCCTCTCATTTTTTGGTTATAGTATTTTTAAAGAAAAACAACTGTAGCATAACAACAAAATACATTCCCTTTGAATACTAGATAAAGCTAAACACAAGTGATGACAGTGAAATTATATGCAGATATCAAATGCCAAACTGCTTTGCAAGAAATATTTATGTCTCAACTACTATGGATTAACAGTGAAATGTAAACATTAGCAGTTAATATTTGATCTGCAGTGTCAATTAGGTGATCAAGTTGTAGCTACAAATCCCCTACTTCAAAACCAACTGCAACTGTGAAGAAATGGAGAGTGCAAAATGGGCTGGAGGCTCCAAGGAAAGGAAACATTTCTTTTCAAGATGAAAAACATTCTAAGTTAATCTGAAAAAAAAAAAGCCCTGCCCACAGTTAAGGTAAATATCTTAACTCCTAGGCACAGTGTAACCAAGAATGAGCTCTTAGATTCAGGGTACGCTGAGATCATAACAGCAGAATAAAGCAGAATGCTTGATCAGAGCAAAACCACATGCTATGCTTAGATTCCAGTGTAACGTTCTAGTTGGCCTTGTTTATCGCAAAATTTTAGTAGCTTACCCAACCACAGATGAAGACAAAGACCAAGTTAAAACAACAATAATAATAAAACAGCAACCAATAGGAAAAAACTGCCAAACCCAGGTGTTTTATCAGTTAATGTTTCAGCTTATTAGACAAAACACAAGTTATGATCTCAGAGAATCACAAAACTGCAGTAAATTAGAGAAACATTAAAAACTGGGATATATACAAGTGTCTCCTTCGAAAGCTGAAACGTTCGCATGATGAAGGTAAGGTTTCTCAGCAAAATGTTTCCTTTTGAATAGTAAGAAATTACTAACTTAGTTCACACCTTTTCAGGACCTTAACATTTTGATTCTTGATGCTTCAAATGAAACATTTAAGATCTGATATTTCTAACAGTTATGCTTATCTGCTTATTTGAAATTTTTTCCGGACCTGTCTTACCTCATGTACTAGACACCAGGGAAGTACATGACACCCAGCCTCATATCCCCTGTCTCAGGTCCAAATATGCTGCTTCTCATATTTTCATAATAACTCTACCTTCAGTTTTTCCTTCTCAGCTAGATACTCTTCAAATACGTGATTTAATAGTACAAATAGTTGCTCTCTCCACAAGAAAAGTGGAGCAAATATCTGGTGTATTTTTTCTTTGGCTTTCTGGAACCCTTGTCTTCCTCAGATTCTTTAAATCTGATAAAAATCTTCCTTACCTTTCCATCATAAAAAGAATCATTATTATGACATAAGCATACATGAGCAAACAGTTGAGTTAAATGAAGAAAAGCGAAATGGAGACCTTTTTGCTTTGTTGACCAGTAGCATACGTAATAGATTTTACAGCATTCTGTGGAAATCACTCAGGCCGTGAGGTTAGTGATGGAATATTCAATAACATCATTCTAAAACATCATTCCCCAAAATTCAAATTTCAGCCCTTTTTATCAACCACATATGAACCATTAACTCTGAAGTCAGTAAGGAAGACAGTAGACACTGTGCAGATCTAAAAATAAGGAGCTGAAAAGTGACAGAGCTGAACCCCTCCCATCAAAGAAAGAGCATCACTTTCATGACACTTTTAGTCTCTAAGTACCTTCCTGTGAAAGCCATCAGGGTATTAAAAAGCTAAGTGTTGCATAAATGACTATCATTTAAAGGAAAGCTCTTTTTTTTTTCTTTAAAAGTGGAAGATGTAAGACAGGCAGATTTAGAAACTAAAGTTCCTCTGTTCACAGAACAGGCACTGCAAAGAAGTAGAATTGTAAACGTCCCCATTTGTCCTACAGGTTTCAAACAATCTTGAAAGAGCCATTTCCTGGAGTCTGGTATTACTTTAGCTCAGAGGCTTATTTCTCAGCTGGATTTTAAGATGTAGGCACTGGAAATTATAAATACTACTAACTCATTTAACACAGAGATTCAGCTAGCTGGAGGTACTTCTAGTCATCACACACTTAGCTGTAACGCAAAACCGAGACCCACACCAGAAGACACAGTCTGTCACGTTGCTCTTCCTTTCATCCATATAAATAGGTGTTTTCCTATTGGTATTAATGAAATAGCTGGGATACATTATTATCTACATAACTTCTTCTGTATCCATAAAAATGAATCAGTAAATAAAATGTTTCTTAATGAACGACCACTCTTTGATTTTGTTTTTTAATGCTAATTAATGCTACAGAAATTACTTTCAGAATTTTAGTATCAACACTTCTGTAATAGAAAACAAGAAGTCATAAAGTATGCACAGCACAAGCCCACAGTATTGTATAAGATGAGGGATTTTTGTGACAATTTTATGAAATTAAAAATAAAGTATTACTTAGATAGATTTACAAGTCTGTTAACACCATGGCTTAAAATGTTATTCTTAACAGAAAGTGTGAAATTCTAATAGGGACTTATAATATATAATTAAAGTTCTGATAACCTCTCAACATTATTCTAAGTATAGCCTTTACAAAGCATATACGACTTACTTTCATTAAAAACATACTCAAATCCTTCCAGAGTGTCAGGAAATTCAAGTGGTGGTTCATCTTTTTTCATTAGTTCATCCAAGTCTATTCTAGACAGTAAATCTAAAAAAGGAAAAGAAAAATTACATAATGAATGCTATGTCTTTTTTATTTCACTATTATCACTGACAAAACACGTTCGTTCAGATTTGTAGATCTTAAGGGCAGAAGGACATCCTACACATTACTAAACATAGGACTTCGTTATGGGAAATCTCATTCCAGATTCAAAAGCCGGGCCTCATTGTCAGTATATCTTCCTATTTATTTCTTTCTTTATTTACCTATCTATATCTAATGCTGATCAAAAAATGTCCAGCAACAGAGAAGCCACTAAAGACATAGTGATTTGTTTCAATGATTCATCACGCCCAATGTCAGAAACGCGTCTCCGGTATGCATCATGGTTTTAACACGAATTTATCCAGCTTCAACATCAAGTCGCTGATACACTCCGGTTTGCCTTCTTGAAGAGCTCAGATTATCAAATGCACGTCATCTCACAGGCATTTTCCAGCTGTGTGATCACAACACTCCTCAACCTTCGCTTTGATACCCAAATAGATGGAGTTATATGAATCCTTCTCTCAACCACCCTCCTTTAGCAACTCTCAAGGCAGAGAGAACTGCCTTTCATTTTATAGCAAGCCGTGACATACACATCATCTTCAGACTAGGATGCTACAACCGCATACAGTCTGCATTCACGAGTGCAAGTACACTAAAATAAGTATAGTCTGCATTATTTACCCTCAATTTAAGGATTTATATTTAACCAGAGGCAAGCATATAGGGACATCTTTTGGTTACATCTAACTATTAAACAATTACTGCATCCACAGATAATAGTGTGCAATCACCTCTCCTCATTGCTCATCAGCCATACAACCTGATGCTACCATTTTAACATACTTTCTGATTATTAATAATATATTTTTCTCTTTCCTCATAGATGAATTTGAAGACCACACAAACATTCGGTTCAGGAGTCCTACACTGACTTTTCACTCCTGTTGTTTCATAAACCAAGGTACCAAGTATTACCAAGGAAACACACGAAGTATTCTAAGTATATTGGTTTATCACCTTTACCATCCAAAGTTGTAGTTCAAAGCAAAGAAAACAGTTTGAAAAGACTAACTTTCTTTGAACTTGCTTTGTTTGACATTAACTACGCTTCCATCCTTTAATTACTTAAAATCGTTATTTGAATAGGCTTTCTATCACTATTTTTCCTTAATCTTGTCACCAGTGACAAGCCTACGGGCTACCCATGTTACCTAAGCTTAGAATTGGTACATTAATCCTTTGAAATTTCTACAGTGTTTAAAAAGTACGACTTAAAATTAGCTTCAATATTCTTGAGAGTTCCTTGGCCTGCTCTTTTGTAACTCTTCAGGTTCAGGTGACATTCACTCCAGCGTTCATACAACTGTCTCCAGCTCCTCCTTCTCTACATGATTCCACCAGTTAAAGCTGGAGGACCAAGGGTCATTTTGTATGGTCATTTCCAACCTTTCTCCAACCCACGCTATGGTATCTGAGCATCTCTGGGGTAACTAAATCAGATGTTGACTGGAAGATATCTAAATGTGGCTTTCTCAGCCATAGCTCACTTTCACATCAAATCTGTTTAATAGCAAGTCCCATGACATTCAAGTCACATCAGCAATTGTATGCTTGTTCTTGTGCATTGTCCTTTGAAAGTTCCGGGGAAGCTGCTTTGGTCCTCAACCAAATGATAGGAGAAGGAAAAGAACTTTGCCAAAGAAGTTTTTCACAACAGGATGTAAAAAGCGTGCCCTTTCTTCCTCTGTACTTTCACAACGTCAAGGTAGTAAAACAGTCTTTAGCACATCTTTCCTTGGTGAAGAGACTCCAGTCACACCACATCTCTAGAATTTAATTTAACCAGAGTTATCCTGTCTTCTTACTGTGACCTATCTGGAAACGTGTTTACACAGAAGTGTCAGTTGCTATATAATAAAATATCCGTCGCCGGAGGAGCAAGGACAATACTAGATGAACTACATTAAGCTTATCTGCACTGTGTACCGCTTGTCACGATTTACAGCTTCCATCAGCGTCACTCAGGAAGGCGGCAATCGGTCTGTGCTCCAACCACCAATATAGCCACTTTCTTCCTGTGCAATTTTTCAAGTTAAAATTAGCTAAAGTGTTCTTATAACTTTGAGATTCTTTCAAGATCTGATCCACCATTCCCACCTAAGATCTTGGACTCTCCAACTCAATTCCAGACTACTTCAGCAGAGCTCAAAACCGAGCAATCTGCAGGAGACCTTCTACAGCTTAATGGTTGTTCACCATTGAATGGTAGATCACATGGAGAAAACAACACCCTCACAGAAAGTTTTCATTATGTGGAATATTTCTCAGACACTAATCCTTAATGAAGACCAAACTAATGCCAACTAAAAAATGGGAGTTCTACTATTCCAAACATGAAGTATAATTTCCTCAAAATATACCAGTTTGACAGAAGTAGTAGAAGGTTTGAAAAAAACACCACATACTTTTTCACCAAACGTTTCACAAAAACACAGTTGTAACTGAAAAAAACCATCATCTACCATCACTGCAAAACAGAATATATATTCCTAACAAAACTCTGGTAGAAATCCAATTTTTTTTTTACTCTGGACCTGCAAGGTGTATTCTTTTTGCTCTTTTGAAAAACGATTCAGAGAGTAAATGTGTGATGCAAGCACTTTAAATCCAATGTTTGGTTAGCTTACTTGTAGGTCTAACCAACTCTGTGTACTTCCAAAATTGAAAAACACCATTTTAAATATGTCATTTCTTTAATTTATTTTTTCCTCAAGAAAATTACTCTGCTGTCACTTAGGTCCATTTACTTTTTAAAAACATACAATACAATGAAAACTTTATAAAATCAACATGGAAATCGATGTCCTGAAAATGTTTTCCCTGCTAACATTCTAGTCAAAGAGATTTTTAAAAGCTGTAATATGGTTGCATAATTATAAAACCTAAGTGGCATAAAAATTAAATGATAACTTCCAGAAACTGAGAACACAAAAGCACCAGTCAACTTTCTCAAAGGATAATTACGAAAATTAAAAAAATTAATGGATATCTTATTCTGTTCCTCCTTACTACAGATCATTATTTTTTATATCCTCTTACGAAAACACTGATAAAGGACACACCATTAGACAAAAAGCATTAGCATAAATGGACTAATAGTCTCTTCCAGTATTGCAGTTTCCAGACTCTAACCCATAGTTATATCAAACTATTTTCCTTTCCTTAGTTATTATTTATGAAATGTCAACATATGTAAAAAGAAGGCAAAAGGACTCATACCCTTTAATGCAGTCGTCTTCTCTTTTTCATCTGGACCTCCTTGCTGGAGCTGAGCCATCATTATCCCAGCTGTCAACAGATTTAAAATACTGAGGTAAATGTACATTAATCAGGCAACCTGAAAACCAACAAGAGTTGGAAATTAGCAAATTTACTGACTTCAACAGATCTGATTTGCTGCTGCTTACATCACAAAAATCCAGAACTTCTTCCAAAAGCAAAACTTCCCAGAGTATTATAAACCCCTATGATATGTAAGGTAAAATAAAATTAACTTTTCCTCTCCTTCAAAACTTGTACTAGACACTCTTAAGGTCTCATCACGCTATCCTGGATTAAGATGGTTTACACTGAAGTGTGACACACACTCCAGTATCAAATTCGGTGAAAGATTCAAGTTCACAGGAACAAACACTAACTTCTCCCTAATCCTAAAAGGACAACTATCTAATCGCGACTTCTTTTTTGTGATTCTAATGTAACAGCAGCAAATGCAAAGCCTTTTGGAGAAGCACCACACTTGTAAGGCCAAAGTAGAAGACACAAGAAAAACAAAAACATAATCAACAGAACTTACACAATCTTTAAGGATTTTCTTCATCAGTTAATTCCACTTTATTGTTCTTACTGTACTACACGTTTCATTTTGGTAAAACTACAGCTTTAAACCACTGTGATTTCTACGATACATTATCGGCATTGAAATGCAGAGAGTAATGTCCAGCTATGGAACGAACCTCAATATATTCAAGGTGAGAATTTACATGAAAAATATATTTCCAAATTTCTCCTGTTGCAGAGAAGGCAACCCAGACATTCAAATCTGCAAACCCTTTCACCCTGAATCTGAGACCCTGGGAGCAAACTACCACGTCACAACCACCGCTTCTTCCTTCTCAGTAAAAAGACTTCTGTGTCTCGAATTTTTCTTCCCTTCATCTTTTTTTGGTTCCTTGTTTTATTGGTCTGTCATTACCAATTTGTTTCACTTTTCTCCCCAATATACTGCACCATGGATGAGTTTGCATGAACTGCACCTCTGTAGCAATTTGTGATTTTCAAAGAAAGAGTAATAGGATTCACCAACTACTACTGGCTCCGTAATACTTTCACCCGTAAGAAAGAACCCCAAAATGGTTTATTATAAGTAACAACAGTTCACTGTAAGGGCAACAGGAAAAAAAACCAACCCAAAACAAAAGCATAATAGAGACCATTTTTCTATTATCTTTAGAGAAAACCTCTTACATGAAACATTTTCTAGGAGATTAAGGAAAAATACAGCAATTTAAAGGAAGGGATAGTTATTATTAACTAAGGAGAGGGTTGGGGAGTGTGTGTGTTCGTTTGCTTAAGCTGGGGTTCAAGAAAATCCAATAATCCATTCTACAAGTTGGACCTATGGGAGACTTTGACACCTTCCTTTGGAGAAGGCTGTTCAGCTTAAGCTGATGGCACATGACAGTACACTGCCAAAAGTCTTTTAAAGACAATTCCACCAGAAAGCTCTGCTTAGATTGTGTACTTTTTAAATTATGACACAAGTCAACATGATTCAGTTAAAATGGGCATCTTTTGGATAACACTGTAATCATGTTAGCACTCATAAAAAAGTAATCAAGAAAAATAACAACAAAACCACAGAGACTTTTTTTTTGTATTTTCTAGCACATAATGTAGTCAATGTAAACATTAAAACTACCCAAATTTCAATTAGCACAAGTGGATGGTATTAAAGACTTTTATCAGATGCTTCCAAATAGTCCAGTGAAAGAAGTTCACCAACTACAAAATGTTGTCCATCACCAGTTTGTACATTCGAAGCACAAAACCACATACATTCCATCAGATTGTTCAGAAAAGAAACTAATGCATTACAGTTAAAGTTATCAGAAGTGCTACAAAATGACAGCAATAGTGTTTTGTGATAGCCCAGGTGAAAATTTTTCTAGCCATACAAATTGGGTAGTCCTCCCTACACAACTTTTGAAAATTCATCACTGCGTATAGGTAAGTTAACGCAGATAAAAATACATACAGGTGCTCAAAGACTTGTTATTACCCAAGGGAAGAAACATAAAATATATCTGAACTGATATGCCTTGATAAACTAATCCCTACCCCCTAATCAGATTAATCAATGCACCAACCAAGAATCCCTGGCATCCTTGCCTCTACAATGGATACCCTTCTTCCCTTACCAGATGAAGACCCTGCACTGAGGAAAAAGTAGATACCTTAACACCTTCACTTGCCAAGCTAGAAGCACCAAAATAAACAAACAAACAAATAAATCTGAATTTAGCTTTGAGAGAGGGAATTTCCGGTTCTTTTTGACAAAGTAAAAAACTGTTACAGCAGCCACTGGAGGGAGGACTTGATATTAGAATGAAGATGAAACAAGCACACAGTATTTTATGCATTGTTTGTGTGAACACAGCAGTTTGTTGAATCCCTCACTGATATTTGTTTAAATGACAAATAGAAGAAATTAGATGAGAGGGTTGGATTTCCTTTCTTTGACAGACAGATGTCGAATCAACTGCAGTCTGATGGTGCAGAAATGAACAGTGGGAAAATTATAGAGCTCTCTGAATGGTTGCTTACAGACAAGTGCAGGAATTTCAGTTTATTCTAGACATCAGTTTTAAGCCCCAGTGATCTTCAACTGCACGTACTGATGTCCTGGTTTGAGGTAAAACAGAACCAGTTTTGGTCAGTAACTTCACTCCTTAGCTGGGCCTCTCTGACTGCTGAAATTAAGAGCACCTTGTGCAGACGGTGTTCACTCTCTCGGGGTGATCAGACCCACGTTCATAGCTGATGCCCAGGCACGGTGTGCAGAGAGGACCTCACTTACACTCATTGCCATAACCCCCCGGGCAACCAGCTTTGGGATGTGCCCCGTTGGAGGGTGGGAAGCGGAAAAGCGCAGTGGGGTCCCACCTGCGGGGAGGAGCGGACAGGACAGGGGACCCCAAACTGACCAACGGGGTATTCCATCCCATCTGCCTCGTGCTCAGTATAAAGGCTGAGGGACCAAAGGGTCAGATCTCTCTCTCTCTCTTCCTGCAATGGCCGACGTCTGAGGAGGACTCTGTTCGTCTGCTGCGATCCCCATCCTGAATGCAGATCCGGAATCCAGTTCCCGTCCGTCACTGAGTCAGCCTGGGACTGCCCCGGTGCCAGCCGGTGTCGTGGTTGTCATCTCGGGAGCTTGATACGGGTTTGTATAGATTTCATTATTTCTTTTTATTTTACTATTAATACTTCATTAAAGCAGTTTAGTTCCTTCTAAACTCGTAAGTCTCTTTTTCCTCCTCTGCCTCTCTCTCTGAAGAGGGGTAGAGGAGAGCATCTGTCGGTCCCACCTGGGGTCCCCCAGGTCCCCAGGAGCCGATTTGGCCTAAACCACGACAACTGACCACTCCACATAATTCACAAAGACCATTATCAAGTTTCTTGTAATAAAAAAAGGTTATTTTAAATGTGTTATTCTGTACAATTACTTAGATTATTCTTTTAAAAACATCTTTTCTGTGATTGCTTTTTGCATTAGCTACAGCAAGCGTACTTCCTAAAAAACTGGTTACTCTCTCACTTGAAGAAATACTTACAATAAATGAGTTTATTGACAAGAGAATGTATATTTATTTGTATGTATCTTGCTTTTCCATGCAAACTTAAGTATTCTACCACAAAACGTCATGCATATTTTGTGTCTATTCAACTCAAAGCTCGGCAATACTTAAAATAATTGGACAGCAGAAATATTCTGGTTTCATGGCTTCAAGAGACAAAAAAAGCTGCATTTTCATCATACCCCTACTAATGCAACTACAAAAGCAATGGCTTCACAAACATAAATTTAAAACAAAACAAAAAAACTACCAAACCAAACACACTTTTCCCACACTCAAGGCAATATACATACATATTTCATATTTGTAAAGTGGTACTGGAAGTTTGGACCCCCAAGCTTGTGATTGTATAACATCGATAGTCTTCAAATCAAACTAGACACTGTATCATATATTCTGACTTTGAAAAAAATGCACACATACACAGATTTCTACAGACTTCAATTGTTTTTCGTGGTGTAAACGCAGCTAGAGATGTGGAAAAAAAATAAATAGTAGTATATGATTTTGCTTTACATTAGCAATTCCTGACACTAAGTCAATGCTACAAGCGTTCCAAATAAAGGCTATAAATAATTGTAGTGGTAACCCACCGCAAGCGCAACATAAGAAGAAAACACACAAGTATTTTCAAATAGCACAAGTCCATCAAGTTTATCTGGACATAATCTGAACAGGAGTCATCAGAATGCTTCTTTGTACCGCCCTGCTTTACCAGAATACAGCTGAATTAGAGCCTTGCTCTCTGTAAACTGACATCCCAGGCAACCTAGGGGCAAGTGTGGGTTAGATTTGTGCAATGTGGCTGATGACTGGAGTGAGACCCGGTTTTTCTTCAAAGAGATGGCGGGGTGAGAGTTTGGCTCCAGTCCCTTCTCTGTATTGGCTCAACAAAGCAAAAAAATACATACTTTAATCTTAATAGTATTTTCCTGTCTAATTAGATTTTATCTATTCCTGCTTTTAGGGCACTACAGATGACATCAGCAACAACTGCTTCAATTAAGGTTGTACTTCACTTCCCTTCACTTACAAGATGCTATTTTCAACTGCTTATAGGTTTGCCAAACTTCAGCTCTGAAAGCCAATTATTTCCAGTCTGCTTTAGACTAAACAGTTTTGAAAAAGTTCAGCTAAAATGTCTACCTCCTGTATAAGAAGAAGGTTCAGAGACAGCAGCTTCTGCGCAGTTCTGCTGATGTTAATGAGCAGCTACAGCATCTCCATGTTGCAGAGATCAGAAATTTAGCCAGAGGATCAGCTTAGCAGCGTGTGCCTCTTGCCATTACCCTTAAAGCCTGCCCATATCTGCTCCACTAAAAATTACTTCTTGCACACATTTAATATAGACTTATTAAGACTTATCAGAATTTCCACAAAATTTACCCATTTGCCTACAGCATGCTCCATACAGCTGCAAAAAGCCAGAGGGAAGATGCACAGGAGGGGAGTAATAAATGCTAGA